GTTTATGTAGGCTGTTATAACCCTTGACACAGTGGTCCTCGAAACACCTACAAGGTTGGCTGTTCTGGACACGAACGTTCCAGCGAGGAGAACTCCAATTTTCATTCATCTTTTCACGTCGATTAGGTCGAACATTATCACACTTTACTAAGAACAGAATTTTCTCATTCAACTCTCACACTATCAAATATTTGACAGATAACTTCCATTTTTCTGTCACTAGGTGGCACACTGTTGCGACGTGTGGCGGCCTTATATTGGACGGTCGAAGGATGACTCCGTTTTAAATGGTTGCTCCCATTACTTTGTCCTATACCCCCCGGAATGTGAAACTTCTGTAAATTTTGAGCATTAAATTTATAGAAATACTTAGATGTAGAATTTTTAGATTTAATAACTAAGTTTACTAAGTTTAGATTGAATAGAATAAATGCTTATACATGTTAATCAAAATGAAACATTTTTTTTTTCAAATTAATGTTTTAACTCGCGCTACTACTATTATAACTATTAATTTTTCTTACTTTTCATAGATTTAGAAACTGTTTGATTTAGCTATAATAAATTTAATATATTTTTTTAAATATTTTGCTTGGATTCAAATCTTTTAATACATTGTAAAATACTTAATTTTATTGTAGTGAAGAAATAGATTTTCGCCAGATTCCCAAATAATTATGAGCTCTATTCAGATATTATTAAAACAAAAGAAACTGAAAAATAACAAATTTTTAATTTATTGAAGAGGAAATAAGATGCGCATATACAGTAAAATACGCTTAATGCGAAAACGCTTAAGGGGTTCACCCATGTAACGGCCTGTTTTTAAAAAATTTAAAGAATTTTTCTGACTACCAGTAAGAAGATAAGGCTTTAGCTTTTTATCATTTATTTATATATATTATAAGAGTATGAATATAAATGTTAAGCCAAAAATATCCAATAGAACGTGAGTTATAGCACTCTAAACACACCCGTCTCGAAAAAATGGAAGCTCACTTCCTCCACGAATCCAGCTGATTGGCTTATCTGAAAGTAAAAAAATTAACGGCGTTTTAATCTATAAACTGAAATTCATTAAATGGGTTATGCTCAATTGAAAATATCAAAAATTAGATTTTTGGTAGATCCCTGAAGAAAAAGTTTGGAATTTCATGGGGTTTTTTGTTGTAAAAAATAAAAATATTTTGAATTTTGGGATAATCGTAGTTCATTTGGTGCGTATTTATGTGCCAAAACTACCCTATAAATTAGAAGTCATTCGGTCAAACCGTTCTTGAGATATGATGGAGGATAGTTTGAAAAAAAACAGTTTTGAGAAAAACGCGTTTTAAGTTTCAAGTCTGATTAAAACAATGAAAATCTTAACTTGCCCTCAATCAGCGATGCCTGGTGGGGAAAACTAAAGCAGAGTTCTGCGAAATATTCAATAACTATAAATATTTCCTTTTAAACCTCTAAAAACTTGTATGAATGCATATTTACATAGAGGGGTCAATGGTATCAAGCCAATTGTACACAATAGGCCCAGCCTTCGATTGCCTACTCCGAACATCTGCTCTTCTAACACTTGCTTCTTTAAAATGACTTCGAATTTTAAAAAATCACTTTACCACCGCATTCTAGACATGTTAAAAAAGCAATTTATGGAAAAAAATTTATTTTTTAACCCATCACTTGAGTGAGCCCTCTTAACACAAAATAATGCAACGGTCCCGGTAAACTACTATGTATTTTCAAGTATTTTTTTTTCTTTACACGAAATGAAAATCGCTTAACACGAAAAGATTTCTCTTCTGGAGAAGGAGGATATTGAAAATTAGTCGACACTTATGAAATGCTTAAGAAAGTTTCTGTATTCTGCCCTACTGTATCATTGGGAGAATTCGTTGCAGTAGATGATCATAATGTATTTACAGCCCCAATTATGACATACAATGACTTTTTGGGATTTGTTCAAAACTGTAAAAATATTGATGCAAATTCCGCCGACGAAAATGAAAGGAATAATGCAGCACCTGTTCCCACGTCATCTGAAAAAATGAGGAACATCATAAAAAAGTAGACGCAATTATTTAAACGCACATTCCAAAGGAGAAATGAATAATAAAATGGATGACATCGAACAATTTGTTGACAGTTTGATGCTAAAAAGACAATGCACAAAGAAAAATACCAGATTATTTTCCAAAAACTCAATAAATGTTTTGTTTTTCAAAAAAAATTGTATTCAATTTCATTAAGTTCCTATGATTATTTTTGTTTAATTGATGATTTTTGTTAAATACATGCTTATATACATATCTCTGTAAATGAAATATACTCTATAAACTTAATATTGCTTAAGATATGTCTTTTTTGGTCGTAATATCTTTAAAACGAAGAAAAATATTTCAGGCCCTTTAGTTTCATGTTAAACGATTTTTCCTGTATTTTTTATGCATAATTGTTACGTAAGTAAAACAAATAACAAAAGGTTATCACTTCCTTTTCAGCGCATAAAGATTATAAAAATTTGTAACTGCTAATACCAATCTGATCTTCATCTCTTAATACAAATTTGAAACAAAGTATTTATTTTCAGATCTACATCGGATTAATATTTAACAAATGCTACAACTGCTAAAATAAAAATAAGGCTGTTTCTTTCTTAAGTATTTGCGTTTCATCCTTATCCCTGAAAGTGATACTACGCGCTTATGTAACGCTTGCAGCCCATGGCCCATGAGCCAAAATTGGTGACGATCGCATGTGGTTGATCGCTCCTAAAGCCCTTGGTTGGTTCACCGGATTAATTCAGTAGCAGCTGTTGTGGAATATCCCGTAATCTGCTCTTAAAAACAGGAAAAACATGTTTGCTTCCCTTCTAATAAAATACTATGTCGATTTTTCTCGAATGAGAGAAGCTAAGCCATTTGCGGAAATCAAACACGGCTGTTGATGATTAGAATTTACGGTTGCTGATTCCAAATATCACTTTTCTGTTCTAATAGATTTTCCATTCTCACTAGATTCTGACACTCTTGACTATCCCTAAGAGATCGCAATACAGATGTATTATTCATCAATTTACAACTTGGATAGCAAGTTATTTGGTTTCGATTGTTCATTGTTTATCTAAATGTATTCCTCTTGTTGAGTTACATTTATTTTCAAAGACATATATTAATCATTTACGATGGTATATGTATTAATAAATAGTAAAGATTGATGTATACTACTAAATAGTTTTAAAAAGTGATCATATAATCTAATGATTTAAATTATAAAAGTAGAAAACTCGAGAAAAATTTTCATATTCAAAAATTTATACATCTTAAATGCTTTTGAGTTCAAATTCATTGCTGTGTAACTTTCATGAGAGAGTTTAACTGAAATATAAAACCAACCATGTAGAGGAGTTAATACACTTTGAATCTGTCAAAGCTCAGTCCTCTCGTTGATGTGGTGTGGAAGTTTGGAGAGGGGGTGTCATATCTCAGGTGTCATCTTTGACACCTGATTATGGTTTAATATTGAGAGGCTCATCGCCAATGGTCTTTGTGTTGCTTCACAGTGCGATGTAAATTTGAAAAAAAATCAAATTAACTGAAAGATTTTTTTCTTAAAAAAGGAATTTTTTTTTAATTGGACTATTTATTATTTTTAGTTTCTCGTCCATAATTTAAAAGCACTGATTTTATTTGTAACACTGCAACTTAATGTTTATTTTTCCTTAGAATATTTTCGTTTGATCCTGGTTTAAAATTACAAGGCCCGTTACCAATAGGCACGCACTTGGTGTTGTTTTAAGTACGAAGTTAATAAATGCTCTCACTCCTTATTATAATATTTAGAAGACTTTTTGTTGATGTGAAAATCGAGATCTAATTCCTGGGATTATAAATAAAAGCAGTAAACATGCTATACATCATCCGGAGAATTAAAAGTAAATTAAAAATATTGTTACTAAAACAATTTCTTTAAAAAAATAAATATATTTTAATGAAATATAATTTGACACAGAATTTTCGAGTAAGGGAAAATTTAGAAGAAGAATCTTCAAATAATGAAATTCTTTCTGAACGATAAAAGATATAAAGGGAAATAAAATATTTTCAAATAAATTTGTGTAAAAGATCTTTTTAGGATCAGTATCATGAATTATTTTCCAAGTACAGCACATTTTAAAACAAAGCGCCCACAAAAATCCTTCTTTTTTTTACCTTAGATATAAAATACAATTTCCATTAAATTTTGAAAAAACTGTTGGATTATATATCTTAGTTTAAGACACACTTTCATATAAAAAATTTAATACTTCTACAGATCTTATAGCAATTTTCTCTAAGGAAAATTTCCTTATATATATGATATTTTATAAAAGTACAATTCTATTACTAAATGAAATATCTCAAATTAATATACTTCCCTGTATGCAATTTTGTTCTCTATTTATTCAGGGAAAAAATTAAATAGGACACAAATGCAAAATACTGTTAGATGTCTGTAACATGCCTTTAAAAGAGTTTCAAGCCTAATTTAAAATTTGAAAACATTTTAATACACAAAAAGTATTAAATTACGTGAATACTGGCTAAAACATAGAAATTTACATTAGAAAGAAACTTCTTTCGTATTACAAATCACATTTTATCAAATACTTTCACAGACTTATTAATGTATTTAATAAATCCTCAGGAAAGCTAATTTATTTAAATTGCAAACCAAGATCTATTTTTTGTGACAAGCTGTAACAATATTGTATGTTATTGGAATATTTACAGACATTCTTTTTGTACTTTTCCTCAGTTACTCTATTTGGCAAAAAAAAAAAAATACCATCATTTCAGAAATCTTGGTTCTCCACATAAAAGTAACTAAATTTTTACGTAGATCCGGCCCTGATATACGGTGTTGGACTATTTTTTTGTTTGTTACTATTTATTCACATTGATTAAATTTAAAAATTCTAATAAAATTGTATAGTAAAAAAGAAATTGCATTCTCAGAAATTGAGTCATTTCAAGTGGGATTCAAACCCACGACCTTTGGATTACAAGTCCAACATGCTATCCATTGCGCTGCAGGGACACAACGAACAATTTTTCTTTCTATATATGCTGTTGGACTATTATTTTTGTGATTCTTATTATTTATTCATTTTTTAATTTAATTAATGAGATAATATTTGAAAAAACTATTGACATCTAGTGGCATCCATTACAAGTTTTAAAAAATGCATTTGAACTTGAATGGATGAATAGAAAGTATTTTATTAACGATTGAAAATTGTGTGAACACAATATATATATATAAATATATATACATATATAGGGAGAGTGTGAACTAATAGTAGTAATTGGAAAAAAAATGCCAATTTAGATTACTTTTTATCTGTATTTACACGAGTAAAAAAGGATTGCTTTATTTCAATTAAAGTTGACCATCTTTAAAAAGGAATGTCAGTGGTTTTACATAAATAATTGCAATAAAAATGAGCTTTTTTTATTTATAAAGATTAAGATTCTTACTCTGGTTAAATAATTTTTTTAAATTTCAATGTATAGAAACTTTTATGTTATCTAAATGCTTTTGTGCGATTAGTGGCACTTCTAGAATCTTTTTCAGAGGAATTTAAATACAAAAAAAACTTTATTGTATGAAAAAATTGCTTTAAAATTACTTTATCTTTTATTATTTTCCATATGTCTCCAGGTCCAAACAAAAGTTATTTGAAACTTCTATTTTTGGCAATTCATCCATTGTCTAATTTATTAGGCTTACAACAACGTTTAAAAAACTTGTCCACTAATTTTAAATCTCATACAAAGTGTTTTTCATAAATTATTTTAAACGACAATCGAATGTCTAAGCAGAGTGAGTTTTTTATACAAATAAGCCTCTTAAATTGTGAAGTAACAGGGTATCTATTTCATTCAGATGACTATTTTATAATGTGGTCACTTTACAACGGTGATTTGCAAACTTTCAATATTTTCAACCCAATATTTAATCATAATTTTCATCGCACCCCTTCCAAACAATAACAATGTATTGAATTCATTAAAACTATACTTTGTCGGTAAGGCTACAATACGACTTAACCTCTTAACTGCCACCAGCGTATATAAGCGTCTCGCTCAGCCTAAGCGTCAATTGCCCTGGACGTATATATACGTCTTTCCGAAGTACGATCTTTTCTGTGCACTGTTAACCATAATATTATTCTGAAGACTTTGAAATGCAATAAAAGGACTTTGACATGGTTTGCGAAGGATTTATTTATTTCAGAGAATTTGCTTATTCATTCCTTTTCTTTCCTCATCCCCAATACATCACATACGCGTGGAATTGGGCAGTGAATCGCAAAACTTTTAATCGGCAGTTAAGGGATTAATTATAAACAATATAAATTATCAAGACAAGTGTTAATTTTTGTATATAATTTTATAGATGACTAGCCCATGGTGTCACTGGTAATTATTAAATTTGTTCTTAACCTAGTACTGTTAAAAAAATTAATTATAAATTACATTGTGAAGTACTGATACATTTATAAGTGTATTATATCAACGTAAATGTGTGTATTTTATTTTTATTATGTCAGAATGTATACTGTTTGTCTACTTTTAATAAATTAATATTTTTTTAAAGTATGTTTTGTTTTCGACTTTAATGTGCCCGCGTCCGCCTTATAGAATTATCATCCTCCTAGGCGGCGCGATCCACATTTTGAGAAACGCTGCCTTACAAATATAATTTTCTTTCTCGGATGATTAGGGTTATACATATAAAGGAATAAAAATGCTAAAAGACTATCCTCATTTTCAATTCCTCATACGAGGGTAAATCAAAAAGTAAAGGGACCTTTGGAATTTCTCTTCCCATGGTTTGGAAACAGTACTAGTATCCAGCACTAATGAAGGGAAGTTAGCAACACTTCTATATAACGCGTTACTTGTCTTTCATCGTAGTCGTTGGAGTGTAGCAGACTGTTCAACATGGCAGCTCCATTGTCGGCCTGCACCAAGGAGAAAAGGAAGACAATGACTCGATTTGCTTATGGAATGTGTGAAACTTGCGGAAAATATTCGTCGCATGCAAGCGCAGTATGGTGACAGTTGTTTATCGCGAAGCAAGATCTGCAAATGGATAGAGCACTTCATGCATTGAATAACAGCTCCATGTGACGATGAAAGATCAGGCAGTTCACAGAGATGTCTTAAGACTTCTTGATGCCCTGGACCCCCACACAATTGTAGGCTCTATCTATGACTCTTAAAAGTAGACAGTAATAGCTTACGTTGTCAAATGCTTGAACAAACAATAACGCGAAACAAATAAATGTGCATGACTTATAATTTCACAATCAGTTTGACCTACTGCCACCTTTTCGCTGAAGGAATAAAGATTGTGTACGGTGGTAGGTCTAGGCCTGTACGTGGAAGACGGTCATCACATGTAGCCAGTTGACCTATTATCTAAAATTTCCAGTTTTTCGGAGAATACAACTGGAAATAACATTTGACCTTTGAAATTTTTTGAACTATGATCTTACTAAGACTAAGTCGAGAACGAGAAGACGTCCCCATTGCGGCCGAGGCCCTGGGCTCGGGCCCAGTTGGCCCATGCCTTAAGACGTCTTTGTCAGTCCATCTACTTTACTGAGGGTCGTCGTTGTTGAGGGTATAGTGATGGAAGGGATGGCTAGGACCCAGCGCAGGTATCAAACCTAAAGCAAACAAAAAGTGAATGATTGCCCTCCTTTCCTCCTTGGTGCAGAATCGCAATGTAGTTGCCATGTTGAACAGACTCCTACACTCCAACGCCTACGAGGAAAAACGAATGGCACGTGTTATGGAGAAGTGTTGCCAACTACCCATCATTCAGCTCTGGATACTAGCGATGAAAGAAGCCTGCCTAGGAAAGAGAAATTGCAAAAATTCCTTTATTTTTTAACTTTCCTTGTAATTTAGACCTTCGTTTCTTTGTCCATGCTGACTTTTTTACTAAGAATAATACAAATAGTTCTCTGTTTTTTTAGATATAACTTTTCTTTTGGAACACCATCTTTTCAATTTATAAGAGTGGAGTGCATTTTGGAACCATAATTGCTGGAACATATTATTGATTACTGAAAGTATCGTGCTTAAAAACTTGCTTTTTCTGCTGCTTAAAAGAGAAAAGCAAATGGCACTTGGATTTGAGCCTTTATTAATATTCACGGGATATCATGCGAAACTTTATGAATTTTATCATGTCTGTAAAGAAAAACCAATAATGTTTCATTGAACGTGAAAAAGCTGCGATGTAAAAATAAAATTTGTTTCTATCAAATTACAAATTCCTTAAGCCTGCAAGTTTCCATAATATTCTTCATTGTTGGATTTGGTTAGAAAGGTTTATCAACACAAGAGGTCTATTTCTACCAAGCTGAACCGATCACATTAGTTTATTTAAAATAAAAAATGAATCTACAATCTAAATTAAAATATGTGAAAATAAGAAAAGTTAATTGATTGTTTTATCAACATTGCACTACAAATAACACGAGAGCTACTGGCGACGGAACTAGCGATTTTGAACCTCGGTCAAGTGATGAGAGATAATTCTGAGCTGGCAGCCTTCTCGTAAAAAGGAGACAGAATGGCAAGAATAAGGGTCGAAAATAGAGAAAGATTGCTAGATTTTCCAGTAAAAACATAACCATTGTTTGCCAAAAGAAAGGGAAATTGATTCACGCTCCTCGGATCGCAAATTTCGAAGTTTCCCGAGGAGATCAAGCCTTCAAGAGATATATACCCTTAAAAAAAGTGTCTTTGCGGAAATTTCAAATAAGGACTGAGCGTCATAAACTCTTTTCCGAAAGTTGCAGAAACATTTGAATAATTCAGCTTAAAAAAATCATTTATTAATAATGTAAGTTTACCTGATGATTTGCTTCATAATCTATTGATGAAATAATATGCTCATTAATATGAAGTTATTTGTTTGAATTAAATTAAATATAAAATTAATAGGAAAATATCACATATTAAACCATTCTAATAAAATATCGCATTTTTCAAATGAATTGATGTGTTTAGTTTTGACGCAGAATATTATCCATCGACGTCAGTAAAGTCTTTTTATTCAGGTTGCAATGGGCACAAGTCCAGTTCGAAACTAAAAGTGCTCCTATGCGGATTTCGAATGTACTTTCAACTAGTGAAATTAGATTGCAGTAGAATGTGTGTTTGGATTCCATGCTTAAAAGAGTAGAACAAGTAAACTGGAAATATATAATTGGCGTAATTCTAAGTACCAGAAAGAATATACGAGATTGAGGAAGTGAATCGAAATTAAAGATTACATATGATTTTGGTTTCTCCACAAGATAAAAACTCCATAAACATAAAAATAATAACAAAAGGTTATTTATTATATAAGGTCCTTCTAATACTTCTAAGACATCTTAGTCAGCCGGCATTGACCCGGATGTAAATTTGTAATCATTCTTAGACCAAGAACTTAAAGTAGAAAATTGTTTTCAAAACAAATTTCTAAAATATCCAAGTATTGATTTATAAAGTGATAAAAATATTTTTAGATTTTAACAATAGCATGTATTAGCCATTCCAAGAAGATTACAAGCCAATATAGATAATAATAATTTATTTACATAGAGTATAAAATAATATTTCTTTTCTAAAAATGTATAGCCATTTTAATTTATAAATGTTTCGTACTTTTTCCCTTAGAAAATATTCTTTGTTAATTGTTTTTTTTGGGGAGGGATAAAAATTTATTTTTTTATAAATCTTGTTGATATAGATAGATATCTTACGATATTTGTTTTAACAGTTTACGTACAATTAAGCTAATTTTAATTAAGTTCCCATTAAAAATGGACATGTTTAAATAATAAATTAACATTAAAAGAACTTCACTTTGGTACATACTTAATAAGAAAATTTAGAAACATAATACTTCAGGTATTGGAAAGTTCATTTAATTGCTTAGACATTTTCCAGATTTATTTTTTTATAATAATTAAAATCTAAATATAACAGTATGCAGTTTGTAGGTACCTCATACGTCAGACT